GTCTCCCGCGGAGCCGATGACTTGTTCTTCTGTTACCGCTGGCTGCTCCTGGAACTCAAGCGGGAATTCGCCTTTGAGGATGCCTTGAGGATGCTGGAAGTCACATGGAGCTCACTGCCCCCTGACCCTCCTGAAACAGAAGTGGAGCTTCTTGGGCCACCCCTAGAAACGGACCAGACCCCAGTGACACCCGAGGGGGGTTTGGAGAAGAGGCTCCCTCTTGAAGAAGGGGAACAGAAAGAGAAGCAGCGCCGACGGCATATGTTGAGGCCTTCCAGGGAGGAGGCAGACGGGGTAGGAAAGATCAGCGCGGGGGAAGTAGAGGGTGAGAACGCAGTTGCTGGAGGAGAGGGGAACTTTGACCTGCACGCCGTTGGGAAGGAGAACGCGCGCCACAACACGACTGTTCCTGCTTTCGAGAAGCAGAGGAGTTTCGGGGAGTTCAAGTACTACAGTGCGCGTAACGAGGACAACTTTGACTTTGAGGACAGACACCCGCCAGAGGGTCCGGTTAGATTGAAGGCCTCTTTGGCGCCTGCATCGGGTCGACCAGTCCGGCAGGCCACGGAAGACAGTGAGGAAGATCACGGGGAGAGAGTGCCTCTTATAACAGACGATGACAAGTCCTCTAGTCCAGAGACTGAAGAGAGGAGTTCCCCCAATGGGCAGACGGCCTCTCCGGACTCCCCGTTCCCCCCTGGCCTGCCAAGCTGGAAGAACGGTTCCTCTCAGTCTCCGGGTTCTACTCCCTCCCCCCTGAGTTGGAGAGGTGACTCACCGGACACCCCACCACCAAAGTGCATCTCGCCCGTTTCACCCGACGAAAGGGCAGAGTCACCAGAGAAACCCGCCCGAGGGACCTTTCCGACGGTCCAAAATGGAACGGGAACAAACTCGCCCGCCACCCCAACAGGGAGGTCGTTGGTTTCGTCCCCGCTGCTGTCTCGATCGCTGCTCTCATCGCCTATTTTGTCCATCGGCAGAGCTCTTCCTTCGCTGCCCGTCGGTACAATGAACAAAGCCTTCTCTAGTAACCTCTCCTCGCCTTGCAGCCGTGTCTCGAGCACCGCGCCCACTCCGAATTCTACCAAATCAGAGAACACCACCATTAAACCCTGTTCCCTGCCGCCGCCTCAAGAGTTCGGCAAAGGAAACCCGTTCATGTTGTTCCTGTGCCTGTCCATCCTTCTGGAGCATCGAGACCACATTATAAAGAACAGCTTCGATTACAACGAGCTGGCGATGCACTTTGACCGCCTGGTTCGCCGGCACAACCTGAGCCGCGTGTTGCAACGGGCCAAGGCCTTGTTTGCAGACTACCTGCAGAGTGAGGTGTGGGACTCGGAGGAGGGTGATGAGGTCAGCTCGGATTCGCCCACCACAGTCACCGGTGCTCTGCACTCGCCCTCTTCTTCTACCACGAGGCCTCTTTTTACCCCCTTTACATCCCCCCTCCCCTCCTCCCCTAACTCTACCTATAACCTGGCAGACACCATACCTTTGTCTACGTCACCAGCATCCCTGTCTCCCTCCTCTTGACTTATGTGACTGTGTCCCTCACACACTTTATGTACAATGACTGATGGTGGCCTACTTATTTCTTTGTCCCTTTTATCGTGGCTCATCTCATTTAGCTCAAACAAGACTCGAATGGAAGGTTCTGACTGCTAGTATTCCCTGTATGCTGTTAGTATTGCTGTTCCCGCAGTTCACCCTTGGTTAGCTATGCACTGTTCCATCAAGTTCCATAATGACCGTGTTTTTGCCTTCTCTTTTGTTATTGGGACAAATAAACATTTTAAACATATTTTACCTTCAAATGGGCTGGACACAGGTGTTGGCCTCAGGTACCTTTGTTTAGAAACTTGCATCGGATAAGTTACAACTTGTAAAACTTGTAAGTTACAACGTCTTTAAAAAAAATCTTTCTTTTTTTTTTTAGAATACATGCCCATCCCAGAATAGTGGGTATGAGAACATTTTATTTTCGACTTTTTTATAATCACGAGTCAATAATTGCATATTCAGAACTGGGTTGTGTTTGTCTCTGAGTATCCTTTTCTATGAAAATATTTTCAGTAGGTCACATTTTAAGTACCAGCGTGAAATGAAGTTGTGTGTCCCCTCAAAAACAATAAATGAATCCAGGTGCGCTCTATAGAAATCTGCGCGGCTAAGGAAACATATTTTGGGAGAGGAATTATAGGAAATCGATGGCCGTCGGTGTCAATTAATGGCCAGTTTCGGCGTATGTCCTAGTACGTGTTTGGGTTTGTTTTAGATTGTAGATAAACGCTATGACGGCTAATCGACTTCAGTCCTGGAGGGCCAAAACACCTCTGTGTTTCTACCTGATTGTTAATTGAGCTGATCTGATTGTTAATTGAACTGATCTGATTGTTAATTGCACTCAGCTGGTGTCACAGGTCTGAATCAGTCACGTACTTATTAGGAGAGAATAAATAAAACGTGTTTGGGCCTTTGAGGATCTGCATTGAATGGCACTGACCTATGATATGGATGGCATATGATTGGGGAAGGTTTTGTTATGGAGGAGTTCAATAAATCAATGGATCATCAAACGATTTAACAGTACGGCCCAATGACACGTATTGCACATGAGTACTACCGAATATGGTGCTAAAGGTTTCTCCAGGCAAATGTTTATAGAAATCTACAAACAGGAATGATATGTGTGTTACACAGTGTCCTCCTCTGTAAGTATAAATGTCAACTCAACATATACTTAAAGGGTATTTGTGCAGCTTACTGGTTTCTTTAACCAGTGAGGTGAAAACTCACACACTTCAGAAATGCAGAGGTTTTGTAGTACAAGTGTGTCATTGCGCTTGTCATGTATAACAACAATATGCAGGGGTCCAGGGGACTTATCTCAGCAGGCCAACAGAACTTCAGTGGCTACGGTACCAATCAATAGCAAACATCGGAATGACCAGTATACAGTTTGTTTGTTATTGTTTGAGCTCAATAGCCTACTCCTTTATTTGCTCCATCAAAATTGTTTATCTCAGTAATATTTGTTTGCGTTTGTGGCTGTGTCGCTGAGGGAAGAGTTGTAGTTAGTCTAAAGCCAGGAATACACTAGATCCGACAACGGTGCATTACAACTACCATGCGGTGGGTGTGCCAATACTGGCATACAGTCTTACCATATACTTCGTCACAATGGGCAGTGCATACTTAGTATGTAGTAAAAGTATTCAAACTGAGATGCAGCGTTTGTCATGTATCACAATGGGCAAACACAATAAACCTCTGTTAATGAGATTGACATGTAATCTGCTTAAACATGTTGGAGACGAACATACTTTCAGGTCAGGTTTTGTCATGTTTATTTCCATTTTCACTGTTAATTTTCATATGTCCAAGAGCTGTATACATGATTCAATTACAATTCAATTAGCAATACTCGCAATATTAACAGAAAATAAAACCAAGTCATACAAGTTATTACAGCCAAACACTATGTACAGAATTTAGATATATACAGTACGTAATTTGTGAATAATTTTGAAATTGTAAATATATAAGTAGCAAGTTGACTCTTACAGACACTCCAGTTGCACAGTAATTCTGGATAAAAAAAGTTAGTCAATATGTTGGTGTCTTCATGTGTTTCTTTGCACACCCGAACACTGAACGTAGTTGTTTTTGTGTTCTGATCATCAAACAGGTGGTGTAATTATGGCATGCTTTAACTCTTGGCTTGGGCTGCATTTTCCTGTGAAAATCTTCAAAAGATGGCATTTTATAAAGTGTAACTTTAAAACAAACTCAGAAGGACAAAGAGTCACACACAAAGAATAATCATTGGTTACATTTTTTTTTCCCCCAAGTCCTTATAGTCTCCTAAAAACATTTTGCATCCATGTGATATCCTATGATTCTTTATTAAACCAGGCTCATTGACTATAAAGTCAGAGAAATGTACATGCGTTGTGTGTCTCTGACAACCACATGAAAGCACTAGATGACACACGATAAAACGTGTGGAATTGTTAATATTTACACACACAAACACATGGATGAACACAGACCAACATGTATGCTTATGAAACTGTACAATCATATGAGCAGTTTTTGTGTTTTAACTACAGAGAATGTTTTGTTACAATCCTCTATTAGTTTTTAGGGGTATGTACTTGTATATTTTCATCAATTTCTGTTTACAATCTGAGTGGTAAAATTGGAATCTGTAAACATTTGCTAAATCATCAATTTAGTTGTCACCCCTATAGGCATAACTTAAGAACAAGAGACACGCGTGTTACATATGAAACATAAAATACAACATCAAACAAAAGATTGTGTTTAAAGTGTCAGCAGTACATATAAATGCCATATTATTCTGGTGTATTAGAAATCTGTAGCCATCGACCTGTAGTGTGTTCAAATCAGCTTATGTTCAACCAGAAAGACGGAATCAGCTTAACGTAAATTATATTAGTATTACACCTAATACTTTAGTCCCAGAGTGTGGACCAACTCAGTCACCTAATACTTTAGTCCCAGAGTGTGGACCAACTCAGTCACCTAATATATTAGTCCCAGAGTGTGGACCAACTCAGTCACCTAATATATTAGTCCCAGAGTGTGGACCAACTCAGTCACCTAATATATTAGTCCCAGAGTGTGGACCAACAAAGACAGATTTAATGTATTTTCAGCTAAGTACATAATCAATGAAGGTGTCAATGATGTCATACAACCTGGGAGGGGCGCCAAAGCTTCACAAAGATGCTGCTGAGGTTACCATTATCAACTCTTATTTCTCTCATTCCAAGACAACAAGCAAAGCTAGGTCACAACATTTTAAACATTGTCCAGGCAGAAAAGCAACCCTGCAAAACCCTGTCCCAAGATCCAGTTCCAACACTCACGTGCCCATTGTAGGCGCTTTCTATGCATTTATGTTGTATTTTTATTTACCCTTTAATTAACCAGGTTGAGAACAAATTCTCACTTGCAACAGCGACCTGGGGAGGAGCTGGGAATTGAACTCAAGACATCATACTTGCATGCACTCTACCCCTGAGCTACACCAACTCCTCCTCCAACATCTGACCCAAAAGCCTTGCCCTTTCTGAGATGCTCTAACCCCACCTTGCCCTAACAATTTGGCCCTTGTCAAAAAAGTACGATCCGTCAAAGACTATGATGAACTTTTACACAGTCATTATTTTGTCCATCACAGTCTGCTACTAATGTCAAGGACAAGGGCAGGCTAAAACGCATCATTCGCTCTGCAGACCTACACACCTTCATGATGAAATGGGCAGCAAAGATTACGGCCGATCCCGATCACCCTGGAAATGGACTATTCAGAACTCCCCCCTCAGGCAGAATTGCAGCAACGGGCCAGAACAAATTCACTGTTTGTTGTCAAATGACTTGTCAATAAACTCATTCTGATTCTGAAAGTCTCTCAGGTCTTCACCCCTGACTAGTCATAATGTTTTGGCTCATCACTGTAAATGTATTCTTTGGACATTTTTTTGTTTGACCATTATTTACATCGTAATTCTTATTTATCCAAAAATATATTTAAAAAATATTATTTTTCCTTTTCGGAATGGAAAAGTGAAGTTGGTAATCTCAACCAAAGTTTTCTTCTTTAATATTACAATGTATTAACTAGCTCATTGTGCTGGATATTTTCATTACAGTGTGTTTTTCCGATTGAGCAAAAATACCTTTAATGCTGAGGCAGATCTTTCACAGACAATTGGCAAATATAATTACTTGGACAGTCGTCTCCCAATCTATATTTCTGGGTTTGCAAGAAAGTGAAAAAAGATTATACTCAGATTTCCCATGTGGCTAAATATTTCCTGGCGCTCCCATATTCTTGTTCAACTTGGTTGGTTGGAAATGTGAAAGTAGGCCGATGTCAACCAGGTATCTTCTGCAGATTCTAGGACCTGTAGTCCTTTTTACTGTTGGGCTTGTTGCCCAGGATACTATCCATCTCGTGCACGATGGAGGATGACAACTTTGGAAGAACCTGTAAGAAGACAGTTGCACTTGTAACACAACAGCCCTCGTTCAGATTCAATACCACTACAGATGATAAAATACACAACAACAAATACAAAGCAGATCCATTACGAAATATTTAAATAATAAAATAAGCAGATGCCAGTTACAAATTAAAAGCAATGCTACAACACAATATATTTGTTTGTGCATGCGTGGAAATGGTGTGAAAGTAAAATGGAGTGAGGTCATGTTTGTGACCAAGCCTCTATAAATACAAAATGTGTGGGAATTCTTGCTAAGACGTGGTATTAGTTATATATGACTGTCCATTGATGCCTGCCAAGAGACCTAATGAAAAAAGTTGGGGCCAAATCGAATTACTGCTTCAATTAGGGGAGTTGATTAATTAACATGTTCCATTGTTATATAATATAAATGGCATTTGCTCCAAATGCATGGGCGGGGGGGAGGGGGGTATTTCAACCACGGCCAATAGTGTCACCTAAGATGCCAATGCCAGACGCCTGTTGCGTTGTTCAATCTGCTACAACACCTGGCTTGCCACTGCTCTTTTATTCAGGCTACTGTGTGAATACCAAACCAATATAGAGTTGTTACAATTTACCCAACTTAGTGTGCTTAATCTTTGCAAACACTTCATATTTTTTTCTGAATGTATATTTACTAACCACATTAAATATGGAACTGTTACAAGCTACAGCCAACATGTTGTGCATTTGTGTCTGTGTCTGATTCACTTCTGACCTGCATTGCGGCTATATTCTCCACCAGTTGGTCTTTGCTGGATGTCCCTAGCAGCACGGAGCTCACGCCATCATTCCTTAGGCACCATGCTGTGAAGGGAAACAAGCAAACTGAAAGATGAACAGTTGTGTCTGAAAGCAAGGAAACACCTCCAAACACACACGTCTCCGCACACACATTTCAAATAGTTTGCGCCAAAAATGAATTGAATATGTGAAGGACTAAAAAGACGATTAACGGTGTTGATATGTAAAGACACTTAAAGATAATTGGACACTGGTAAACTGGCACTGTTTATGTCCCCTACAATGGTGTACATGTAAAATGACATCATTCACTAAGGCAATGTTTTTACATCAGTGAAGGAGCCGGTATTGCCCTTGACTTAAGAAGCCGGCAATCTAAAGACCACAATGTCAATGTGCAGTACAGTCTTAACATCAGACATTCATTCAGAGCTTTCAAATAACAAAAATAACAACAAACTCTGTCTTATTCTATATTATTCTAACCACACACCCATGCAACCATGTGATTTCATAATAAGCACAAACACTCTTTTAGAAGCAAACATACATTTTGTGGTTGTAATTTATGTTGAAATGTGAACTCAGCCAGATCCATCGAATCAATGAGTCACATTTATTTCAGCCGAATATCTTCTTCAATTACATGTTTGATAAATGAGAAATCCCAAGTTTTAATATTTGACATTTTAGTTCCTGAGCAGTCACCTTTTATTCAGGGCAAGTTACATTTAAGGCATAGTTTGGTGGGGCAACCACAGAACTCATTGACAGTAAATAGACATGATTTAGCTTTTATCTGATTTGCTAATTAACGTCCACTGTAAAGACTACTAACTGGCAGATGGTAGAACTCTGAACAGACAGATGAAAAGACAGACAGAGTCAGAATAGTGTGGCAGTTGTGTCTGTTACCAATTGCAAGCTGGGCCAGGGTGCAGCCCAGCCTCTCTGCGATGGTTTGCAGTTCCTTCAGCTTTGCTTGTTGCCGGCGCCCTTCCTCACTCAGGATCTTGTCTTTCATCCACTGGTAGCCCTGTCACAGCACGGTACAGGCACGCATGCACAAACACAAACGCACATTTTTGTTATTCCTAGCATCTAAACCTAAACATTACTTTAACCATAAATCATACTTTTACCTAAATCCTACATCTAACTTAAAACCCAGCCCTATATTCTACCTCTAACCTAAACCTTACCTTAATTTTTATGGGATCAAGTGGAGGTTTTTTAATAGAGTGTATAGGACACCCGGTCCTTGCTTGTATCCTAGATCTCTTAAATTGGGCTAAATAATCTTGCAATGTCACCGAACAGCAGGGGGCGCTTTAGACAGCGCGATACAGCACTCATGGAAAGAGAGCCATTAAGTGGATTGTGATTGAGTTCTTAGTTGTAGTTGAATCTCCAAGCATTGGTCAACTGAGGTTAGATGACTCATATCCAGAGCAAGTTCCCAATCCTCAATTGATGATGCGGTCTAGGATTTTGTGATTTAGTAAATAATTGTTAAAAGCTACCATGTTGGTTATTTATACTGTACATGTTTATCACAAGTCATATTTGACTTCATGCGATTCCAGGTTTGAAAGCCAATGACTTTGGCGGACACCAGCAAAACAAGGGTTTTCGGGGACCCTTTCAGACTCGCTTTTAAAACCAGTGGCAAAAAATCACAGAATGCACGTTCAAGTCAGAAGGTCTTGTTGTTAGCAGAAAGGTAGACGGTGCAGTGACAGGACTGAATACAACAACAACAAGTACAACAAACAGGGAGTAAAAATGGCAACCAAATTACTGAGTCTAGGTTACCTTAAGTGAGGCACGTGAGTACAGGGGTACACCACTATTGTACTTCCCTGAGATAATGCCGCATGCCAGTGGAGACCACGTCATAGCACCCACACCTGCACAGATAAAACAAACATCAGGTATATATATATATATATATGAGTGCACGTCATAGCACCCACACCTGCACAGATAAAACAAACATCAGGTCTATATATATATATATGAGTGCACGTCATAGCACCCACACCTGCACAGATAAAACAAACATCAGGTCTATATATGAGTGCACGTCATAGCACCCACACCTGCACAGATAAAACAAACATCAGGTCTATATATGAGTGCACGTCATAGCACCCACACCTGCACAGATAAAACAAACATCAGGTCTATATATGAGTGCACGTCATAGCACCCACACCTGCACAGATAAAACAAACATCAGGTCTATATATGAGTGCACGTCATAGCACCCACACCTGCACAGATAAAACAAACATCAGGTCTATATATGAGTGCACGTCATAGCACCCACACCTGCACAGATAAAACAAACATCAGGTCTATATATGAGTGCACGCACAGATAAAGCAAACATCACACCTGCACAGATAAAACAAACATCAGGTCTATATGAGTGCAGTGCACCCACACCTGCACAGATAAAACAAACATCAGGTCTATATATGAGTGCACGTCATAGCACCCACACCTGCACAGATAAAACAAACATCAGGTATATATATGAGTGCACGTCATAGCACCCACACCTGCACAGATAAAACAAACATCAGGTCTATATATGAGTGCACGTCATAGCACCCACACCTGCACAGATAAAACAAACATCAGGTCTATATATGAGTGCACGTCATAGCACCCACACCTGCACAGATAAAACAAACATCAGGTCTATATATGAGTGCACGTCATAGCACCCACACCTGCACAGATAAAACAAACATCAGGTCTATATATGAGTGCACGTCATAGCACCCACACCTGCACAGATAAAACAAACATCAGGTATATATATATATGAGTGCACGTCATAGCACCCACACCTGCACAGATAAAACAAACATCAGGTCTATATATGAGTGCACGCCGTAGCACCCACACCTGCACAGATAAAACAAACATCAGGTCTATATATGAGTGCACGTCATAGCACCCACACCTGCACAGATAAAACAAACATCAGGTCTATATATGAGTGCACGCCGTAGCATATCACTGCACCTGGTCATTGATCTTGTTTTTTCTTTCATGGGACAACACCAACTGTTGAAGCTAAGGCTGTATTTTATTTCTTCTGCATTTATGAAAATGCATTTTTCTTGATTTTTGATTAATTCATGATTGCTAAGTATAATGATTCAACAGTGTTGAAGTGACAAGTGGGCAAGAAAAAAAACTACTTTCCAGGGGGTGTTCTTACTGCCTCTATCCATCTCAATGTGTGGAACTGATGGAAGG